CCCCGCGGACGGAAAAGGAGGAAAAGGGCGGCGGCCCCCCCCCTGGCCCCCCCTGCCACAGAACGGTGGGCCGCCGAGGAAGGGACGGCCGGCCGCCTCTGGTAGAAGAGGATGTAGGCGGTTGGCTTGCACACCTCATTCTCCGGCAGCTGTTGCACGTCGCTGTCATCGAAGCAGTACCAGAGGCCATCAATGGAGTTCTTGCAGTAGGCTGTGAGAGAGCGGCCGTGTCAGGGACAGGCCGGGGCTCCAGAGACTGGGCCAACAAGGTCTGCCAGCTTGCTTCCCCAAAGAAGGGAGGGAGAAAGGAGCTCGCCCGAGCCAAGGAGCACCGTGCTTTGTCCTCTGGAAACCCCCCAGTCTGAAGGCCACCTGAAGGCTCTGCTGGGATCAAAGAGATCCTAGCACTGATCTGGCCGTGGGGGGGAGGGGGCAGGCCATCGCAATCTAGAGGCCATCCCAGGAGAAGAGATGCACATCACGCCAAGAGGGTGCGGTTCAGTCACCTGTGTAGTGCCCCCCCTGCATGGTGCCATGGTGGTTGCACACCGCATACAAGTCGTAGACGAAATCTCCTGGATCTCTTCCGAGGCCGTAGGGACGCCTCCACGGGGACCAGTGGGAGGGAAGGCTCCAGCTGCTCTGGCTTCGCTTGACCACATGAGGGGTCATGTCAAGGCCAGTCAGAGGAAACCGGACCATGTTCTGAAGCTTCATCCGCCTGTCTCCTTCCTGGGTGGAGAGGGAGAGAGGGCGGCCGTCACCAGCAAAGCAAGCCCTGCGCTGGAGGCAGACCCGGGGAACTCCCAGACCAGCTCCTGGCCGCAGAGCAGCCGAGGGCGGCCTCCCTTCACCTGTCGGAAGCGCTTCAAGTGAACGATCAGCACATCGGGCAAGGTCCAGAGGCTCAGGCTGATGCTTCCTTGCTGCAGCTGCTTGCAGTGGGGGCAGCGCCAGGCATCGTCGGGGGCCAGCTAGAGGCATGAGTCAAGGCGGTCAGAGCACGAGGTGAGCCCTTCCCCACAAGGCCTTTTCCCTCAAAGCAAGGCAGAGCCAGTGGAGAACGTTAGGGGCCAGAGAGCGGCCCCAGCTCCTCCTGCAGCCCTGCCCGGTTTCTCCTGGCCCTTCGGAGGAGATCTGCTCCTTGGGACCCAGTCGGAGTAAGAAACACCTGGTGCTCCTCCCGGCCCTCTTCTGCCACTTCAGCCAGTCTGTAAGGCCCTGAGTTCACTTTTATCTCCCTTAGCAACATCAGATGAAGCTGAGAAGAGAGTGAGACCTGCCCAAAAAAGCTTTGGGGCAGGGATCGTACACCCTAATTTCCAACGGAGAGCGAGTCGCTGTCTCCTTACGGCCAGGGAGACGAATGACCCACGGCGCCAGCAGCCGCAGGAGCACGCCGAGGCCACTGACCTGCTCCTCTTTGGTGTAGAGCTGGAAACACTGGGCTAAGGTGCAGGACTGAGGCTGCTGGTGCAGCGCCCTCTGCTGGCGGACACTCTCGGCGTCCGGGACGTACTCCTCCTCTGTACTGATGAACAAGCTACGACATGGAAAGAGGGCATTTTCGTGCTCCCCGTTTACTTACAAGGCCACCCAAGCGAAACAACAGGACTCTGGGCAGCACACCAAACCATTAAGCAGAAATACAAAAGCAAGGAAGAAAAATAACCCACACCACCAGAGCAAAGCGATTCAACGGCAGTCAGGACCGAATACAGTATGCTGCAATGGGTGGCTCTGCTCGTCCTGGGCCTGGGAAAGAGCCAGGCCTTAGCTGCCTCTCGAAAGCCCCACAGGATTGGGGCCAACCATATATCGCGGGTGGGGTGGGGTGGGGGGAGACTGTTCCAAAGGGCAGGGGCCACCACCGAAAGGGCACACCTCCTGGGTTCATGGACTTGCTTGCGGGCCGAGAAGGCTCTACAACTCCTCTGAGTGTCAGCTGGAAGGCTGGACCGACCCCCCCACGCACGCCACACAGCCCCTGCCAGCAGCAGGGGAAGCCCTCCAGAACAGCACCAGGGGCTCCACAGGCACCTCCATCATGGTCTGCGGCAAGCCCACCGCAAACCAGGTCCTTACTAGTCTTTCGTCTCCTTGTCCCATTCGACCACCAGCTTCACGTGGGGGACTCCGCCTGTCCCACAGGACTTCAGGGCTCTGCAAATGGAACACCACAGAATCAAAGGGTTACGCCCTGCAGCCAAAGAGCCCCCCAAACACCATCAGGATCCCAGAAGCCATTGCCCAGCCAGGCACAGTGCTCGGCCGTTCACTCCCGGCCTTCACGCAGGGCCCCACAGAAAGCCCGGCCAACGGGTGGTGCCGTCCTCGCAGAACTAGAGGGAGGAGAGCAGATGCCCTTTGGAGAAGGGGCTGGGCCTCTGTGCTGTTGCTGCCCCAGAGACCCCGCTCCTCCAAAGGCAGGGGTGCCAGAAGCATGGCCTCTCAGCAGCACCCCTTTTGCAGCCACGAGAGCTGTTCTACGCAGCTCCAACCGGAGGAGGCGGCCCTGGCAAAAAGGAGGCCTTGGCAGAAGAGGGCTGGGAGGAGGCCCCAAGGCAAAAGAGCTCTGTTCCATTTGTAGGGAGAAGTCCTGCTCACCGTTCCACCATCAAGTGGCAGAGAGGCCGCTCTTCCTGAGGTAAGAGGTATGTTATGCCCACAGCGCTGACCACTCGCAAGCTGAACGGACACACCTGCATCGAAGAGGAGGAATGGGGAGAGCCCCAGGCTTCTCAGAGGATGGATAGAGAAGGATACACGTTTTCGTAAGAGACAAAACCAGGTAACCTTTGGGCGTATTCACCAAAGTTACTTGGATCCAGGGGCCAAACAGAGTGTTGAATCCAGAGGCCCCAAAGAAAATACACACCTTCAAATGTCTTGCAACTTTGTCTACATAATAAAGCTTCTTTCCTTTGCGGAGGGGGCCTCTACAGGACTCCCATATGGAGCAAGAAGGACAAAAATCTTAGGAACAGCTCAGCTGCCCCATCCTCTTGCTTTTTATAATTGATATGCAATCTCCACCCAACACTGTATCATGGATTTTTTATTCTTTTGCATTTTGGAACGGCACAACTTATCACGGTTGTTGCTGGGAAAATAGGAGGTAGAAGCATTAGGTATGTACGCTGTCCTGAGTTGTCAAAAAAAGAAGGGAGGGAGGGAGGGAGGGAGGGAAGGAAGGAGGAAGGAAGATGGGAGGAAGGGCGGGACTAAAAACATAAGCATCACGTTCGTTGCCTTGGGTTAATGGCCACGAGGCCAGCTCTTCCTCCTTGTTCCAAGCACACGGCCAAAAGGGAGGATGCTCGGTACCTGAATGCACGCTGAGGAGCGCAGAAAATACTGCATCTTCTCCAAGATCTCCTTCTGCAGAAGGTCCCAAGGGATGGTCTTCTCCAGATGCAGCACGAAGGGCTGGCCAAACCTGAAAAGAGAGCATAAGATGGCAGACCCCACCCAGCAATTTGGCTCCCAGTGATGCAGCTTGTGTGTGCATGTGAAATCAGACACCTCAAGCTTACTGCAAGCCAATTTAAAACATAATCCTACAGGGAGTATAAAATTAATTAATTCCGAGTTCAATGGCACTTATTTCTGGGATTGCACTTTAGTATCTTCAAGATATTTGGCCCACAAAGTACCAAAGTTTATAATTTTATTAACTATATCAACTGCCCTACAATATTTGAATATTCAGCCAGGTCCCTCCAAAACAAAACATGGGTATTAATGTGGTTTAAATGTTACACTTAAATAAATGCAAAACTTAATACATTTACTGATTTACTTGTAAAGTGATTTAACTCAATATATAGCTTTGGATTTTAAGGGAAGAAATGAAAACTATTACCATTCTGATTTCAGCTCATCTAAGAATGTGTGACTACGTTTTTTAACTATAGGCATTAGATTCCCAGAACAAGAATCTAAAACGATTCTTACAGTGAGACTCATGTGGTTATGTTATGATACTAATGCATTTTTATAAAGCACTTTTAGCAATGGAAAGCAGTGCCCCCCACCCCCCAGATGTCTCTTCCCTCCGGCTTTCCCCCAGTCCGTGACAGAGCGACCTCTTTGA